TGTTGAGGTCGCACGTTTGACGCGGGTCCGTGCACACGTCTTCAATCAAGGTTAGGTGTCAGAAGGAGCAAGAGGAGGTTTACATACCAGCAGCATTCGTTCGTGGTGCCCACAGTACAGTCAACCCCACTAGAAGGGCAACGACTAGTCGTCCCATGATGTCGCTTTAACGCAAAATTGGGACTGAGTGAGTTGTAGCATCATCTATTTGCAACAAGGCCACCATGTTTGTTGGAAACCGTCACTGTCCAATGAGGAATTTGAAACGGCTACTTGTACTTGATACTGGTAGTTGTTTTCGTGCTGGTATAGCGGACAACTACCGACTACCGAGTACAATTATAAGTCCATGTCACCGTAAGGCACCCCACGACATAACACGTCGTAGTCATCATGCATTGGCACTCCAATTTACATGTTAGTACAAGTACGGTGTCCAATTCCATTCCTTGTATAGTTGCAGACGAAAATACTCTTGGAGGTGTCAGCTGGAAATAGTCGCCTAGTGCCTAGAAATAGCACAACATAAATCTTCCCAAGCATTTGTGCGAGCACCGCATTTGGAATTGCAATTAGAGCATCCCCCTTGGATATTCTCTCCCTGATGGAATCGTTGGCGCCCTCCTTTTGCCCTTGGAAGGTTCATTGCCACCAATTTTGCCCGAGTTGGGAATGTTTGGTGAAATCGATTTTGCTGTCAGAATGTCCCGTCAGTTTCGTCGCATTGGTCCAGCAATGACGGAGTTGTTTCGTGTCCCGAGCAACCATTGCTAGTGAGAGAATTCCTCCTGGACCAATCGATCGCCCCTCCACATCGATTCCCAGGCTTCACACAAGCTTAAATGATAGACAACACAACAAACTCATTTAATTCGATCACGAGAAGGCGTCCCCTCTTCCAGAATTGTACATGATGGTATCAACACAAAAGCCTGTCGCCACGGGCCACCTAGTGCTCATGTTTGTAGCACTGCGGGAGGAAGCGTGTGTAGTTGAGGGCAAAATGCACAATGAATTAACTGAAGATCTACAAAGTTCTCCTTAATCCTTATCACTATGAAATCTTCTTAGTCTACTTCACTACTTCTACACTAATATGCACTTTTGTATACAATGGATGCGGGTGCGGTTGAGACATTGGGGAACTTCACTAGGCTAG